CAACTTACTTCTTGTGTATTCAAGTTCTAGTTGCAGCAACTTTGAAAAAGCATGATAAATGGGAAACTTTTTCTTACCTGGTCTGTCATTTGTTCTGTGGACTTAATGGCATTCAGTACCATTACACTCACTGCCAGGGCCTTGAGGGAAAAGAAGAATATTTATACGTTGAGTTATGGATAAATGTACAAGGGGAAAAGAGTGAGGGGCAGGAAGTCAGACTCCACAGTACAGAGAATTTGAGACCTTCACTATACATGGATTAATCATGAGAACTAACCACACAAATCCAAGTGGGAATTTAAAAACCAGTGAAGCCTCTAAGATAGTGTATGGGAAACACCATATACTTTCTAATGTATGAGCCCAGGCAATGTGGAATATAATGTGTAATGGATCTATGGAGAACACTTCAGCTGTGGTGTAGCAGACGTGCTCAATCGTGTATTTACATGTGAGTAATATTTCACATACATGGGCACACCTGAACTCAATATCTTTCTCTGTTCTTGGATTCAGTCATTTATTGGAGGAATAAGCAGAAGTTTTGCTAACATTACTAGTGTTCAGGTTTGGGAGCTGCGTTACTATTAAATTGGCCCATGAAAATCTGGTACTATTAATGCTGTCAAGCATGGAAACTAACTGGATTTGGATCAAGGACCTTTATTTATAGCATCCTAGTGAAGATTTATTAGTTTAAAGAGGCAGCTGTGTGTCTCCTGGTTCTTAAAGATTAAATAGAGTAGGAAGTCATGATTTTACATTAATTTCAATTTCCTTAGGTTATCCAAAGGTACATGGTGAAGTAATAGGAAACTCTACAAAGTTTTTAACCTTTCCATCTGAACAGTACAAATAAAGTCTTTAGAATATAGCTCACAATTAGAAGAGAAGTAGATGATGATTTATATAATATAAAAATCGAGCCTTTATCTATTGAGTAAGAAAGCTTATGGGGGTCTTCAAAACATCTTTTCAGGGCCTGGCACGGTAGCCTAGTGGCTAGAGTTCTCACCTTGTATCCGCCAGGATCCCATATGGGCACTGGTTTATATCCTGGCTGCTCCACTTCCAGTCTAGCTCCCTCTCTGCTTGTGGCCTGGGAAAGCAGTCAAGGACGGCCCAAAGCCTTGATACCCTGGGCCCACGTGGGAGACCCAGAAGAAGCTCCTGGCTTCAGATCAGCTCAGCTCTGGCCGTTGCGGCTGCTTGGGGAGTGAACCAGCAGATGGAAGATCTTTGTCTCTCCATCTCTCTGTAAATATGACTTTCCAATTAAAAATAAATAATAAACCTTTCTAAAAAGTGATAATAAAACATGCAAGAAAAATGCATATTATTAAAAAAAGTAGATTTCAAAGCATTTGTACCACAACAAATTTAACTCCAATGTTCACATTTTGAAATCCCATCATATTTATAAGTTGAGCCTGTTATTTTAAATCATATTTGCAGTTTTTAAAAATGCTTCAGCTGCTGTCATTTCTCATTAATTTTATAAAATTGTCCTCTTGGCTTGTTTTTTGTCCCTCTACACTAGCTGCAAGTTCAGGATGAGGCGAGTTTGCTGTAAGTCAAAATAGTTACAAAGGATCATCATCATGGTTCATTTTTCCCCCCAATTTTAATTTGGAATTGAATTAGTCAATGAAAGTTTTTCACAGTTTAATTCACTTCTCCATAAAGTTTATGGAGCAGCAGCAGCTGGTTGAGTCTGTGGCGGAAAAAACCAACTTCTAGTGGCCAAGCTATTGTTTCAGAATTAAGGGGGGAAACTCATTAACTGTTAATGAAAACACAGGGAATAAAAACAAATAGCACAGAAGCCCTGGCAAATAATTACCTTACACCTGACACAAAGATACTTTATCTTTCCATTTCAACCCTCAGAAATTCCCAACTTAACACTCTATGGAGCGTGCATGAAATTGAGTTTGACTCCAAGCAAAGAACAATAGAAAAATCACCCTCCATGTGAGTCTGCCCAGGAGACTCGCTGGAGGACCTGCCCCTGAATATACCAAGGAGTGTATCCAGTGACCCCTTCTTATGACATTTAGGATGGAGGGGCAAATTACTGGCTAATAGCAGGTGAACCCTGAGCTCAGTTTCCCCAGATCTCGTTTAGAAATACAAAGAGAAAGGACTGAAGGGAGTGGATGTGATTAATGGAGATATGGTGTGTTAGAATATATGTCTGTATAGAAATGTATTGATTCTGAGCAGGCTGCACGGGAAAAGTGTGTCTCCAGTGACCGAGGGTCTTGCTTGTGAGGGGGACTACTCTAAGCAGATGGAGTTCTAATCCCTAATTGTGGAGCTGCTGAGTGGAAATGTCTGTCACTCCAGTTTGTGATCATTTGTGTCGGATCCTGCTGGACTAGGGTCAGGGTCGTTTGGAACCCTGATGGTCAGAGCTCTGGATGTATCCAGAGAACACATGTGCAGTATGTTTTAAGGAAAAAATGATGTTCTTAACTTAAATCCAAAATGACTATGGTAATGGCTGATGCTTCTATAAAACTTTTCACCCATGCATCTCGAGTAGCTGTAATCATTTTAATTACACGGGAGTTGTCTATTTATGTAGTGTTATAGGCTGATATCTGTGTGTGCCCAAGGGAGTTGGGCCACTTGATATGTCATAAAAACACTTAAACAACATCTCCATCATCAGGAACTAATTGTGCTTGAGTGTAAAGTGCTGTTTTAGATGTTTTCCCCACCATGACCATCTGCAGTATTGACCCAGGTCCTGTTCTGCCACACTGCGCTGTAGGCCTTTGTTAATGGCTACCAAGGTGTACAGGCTCACAATTGGCCCAGGATTGGCTGTGAGGGCCCACCTTGGATAACTGTACTCAGAAGCCAAGGGAACCACATGGGAGTGACTTTTCTGTTTCATGTTAGTAAAACAAATGCTTACCAAGTCTAGGCAGTTGTTTTGGGTAAGACTTTACAAACATAAGCTGTAAATGCAATGCTATATCCTGGGCTGGATTCTGGAAAAAAAAAAAAAAAGGAGTGAAATCCACATCAGTGTCTAGTTGAGTTCATTGCAGAGCAGCAGGGCTAATTTCTGAGTTGTGGCAGAACCCACTTCCTACCCAGAGGGAGTTGGTATTGGGGGGCTGGGCGGAGGGGTTGCAGGAGCTCTTGGAACTGTCTTCGCAATACTCAACAGAAATCTAAAATTCTTCCAAGATTAAAAAATGCATCAAGCAATACAGCCAAAGCCATTTCTGGTCTGCTAGCATGTGTGAGAATGGGTTCTGCTTTTGATGGTAGGTCCAGCAGATCCCTGAAGCAAACAAGAGGCTTTGCAATCAGGAGGACAGTTGATAAATGATGTTTAGTAAATCCTGCAAATGTGAACTTTGACTTGGCAACCCCAACTACTACCCTTCCTTTTAAAAAAAAAAGGATTTTGATGCAACTCAAAAATTCTTTCCAGCCTTGTAGCTCACTTTCAGGTTACCAGTCGAGCAGTTTATTTAGCTTACGATGAGTTTTTTGTGCATTTGTAGCGTTGTAAAATCTGAACATTTTTTAACCCTCAGTCCAGTATTTGAGAAATTTTATGATGGCAATTACAGGGTGATGCTTTGAACACCACTGTTAAGCTTTGTGGTGTGATCAGTAAGCTCATAAAAAGAGAACAGTTTTGTTTTGTTTTTTTTTTTCCTGGCTTTTACCAACAACTGTTGCATGAGGTATTTAGAATTTTTACTTTTCTTTTCCATAGTAAACTGGTTTATTTATAAAGGTCCGCGCCTGCAGGTGTTCACCTCAGTTATGGACATGGACCACAGAAGACTGTAGATACGATTGTCTAATTTATGGAAAGAGAAGGCTATAGCCATTCTCTTTTTCTCGTTTTATATCCTCACCATCCTTCTAGCTTAATTGTAGGAAATAAACCTTTAAAGTGAGGCAATACAGATTCTATGTAGGTTGTTTGGTTTCACTGCTCCCTAGTTGAATTCCAGCGCCAAAACTCTACAGTGTTTACTGAGATTAACACTGGTGATTTCCTTTGGAAATTGCTATTTGAGATAATATTAAATTCAGTTGAAAATCTCCTTTTCATGCCTGTGCAATGAACTAAGCAGCTGTTGGTGTCCTCTTACCAGCAGATTGTACCTCTGTTTGGAGGATTTTTGAGGAAAGCTATTAGCAACGCAGAGCCTTTTCTTCCGGTTTCCAAATGAGCTAGCATCTTCCGCCTGAACCTTTTAACATATCCTAATAGCATGGACCACTTCTACAAAATACAATCCAATGTAGGGTGAAAACACCCAAAAGGGATTAGCATTGTTTTAATTGCATAATTCAGTATTGTGTATACATTATCTTTTATCAAAGTCATTTTACAGAACAAATATTACCTTCTTAGGGCTTTTAGAATTCCTAAGAGGTTGGCTGTACAAGCTGTAAAGCAGAATTACAAAGAGAGAACTTCATTAGGGTTGCAAAACAAGTCGTGATTTAGCAGGAATAGAATTCAGCAAAGTCTAGTTCTCCCTCTGTTTTTACTTAGTTGTCAAAGGAAAGCATATTGACCTTGCTGGTTTTCTTGGGTAGGTTAACCCTTTGTGTCCTCCTGTTTCACTGGGACATATAAAGGAGCATTCAGGGTAGAGGTTGCCATTAATGGAGATACAGTATCTGTGAACACAGAATCAAGTAAATGGGTTTTCCTGAAGCATGATGTAGCAAGAAGTCTTCCTGGTCTAAGCTGACAGTTCCTAAGTTCTAGAGAAAAGTTATTTGAGTGGGAAATGTCCCATCCGGGCAAGTTGGTTCTTGAACTTACTTATGTGTTTCTTACAGTCATGGGTGTTTGCCATGTTCAGCAAATAAAAGACATTCTTGCAGGGTGTGTGTGAGTGTGTGTGTGTGTGTGTGTGTGAGAGAGAGAGAGAGAGAGAGAGAGGAGAATCCTAAAGGAGATCTAGAAGTACCCAAAGGATGACCTTGTCTGTCCTGCCACTCAGGAGGAGACCTCGGACAGGACAGCTCTGATGAGAACCACAGCGGAGCCCGTGGGCCAGCGATCCCTGCAGATGCAACATTTCTGTCTGACTACCAGGATGAGGGTGAGTGTCCCAGTTCTGGGTTTGGGGTACTGATGGTGTATCGGTGGCTTCGCGTCCTGACTCCTTTGCCTTCTGTCATGTTGTGTCTGGCAGCCCTCAGTGGGTTTTCAGCATTGATCATCACTGGCTTGCAAAGCAGAAACTGTTGGTTGGGTTGTGGTGCTGATCCTCCTGGGTAATTCAATACTTCTGAAGTTAATGTATTTAGAGAAATGCTAATTCCATCTTGTAGCTTGAAGACATCATTATTGATCCTTTTATAAGAACGGGAGCTCCAAGGCTGTAAGGGCATTTCTAAGATGGTGGAGGGACAGGCTACTATTCTTTCTGATTTCTTAGCTTCACTAAATGGCACGAGATTTAGGACTTTCATGGTGATTGGATTATTAAGCATTGTGTATTGTCAGAGACTCTTGAACTCATCATATCATAAGACAGCATTTCACCTGTGCCTCTTGCAAACCCCTGACCATGTTGGCCTTGTTGAAGGGAAAGGGAAAGCTGCAAGAACTTCAATACCCATCTTCCTGAAGCATTAATTTTATTTGACTGTTTGGGAAGGAGAGGAGTGAAAGAGTTAAGTGGTGATGGATGTTGTTTTTATGTTAAAATACAATGTTATGCAATAGAGTGGAATGTGAAGTATACGTGACTTTCTAAGATAAGATGTGTGAATATGGAGATTTCAGCCTGCTGGCTGCCAGGGTCTGGCTTAGGCTCGGATTTCCCCAGTGTGGGTGGTTACTCTGCCTCTGCTGGCAGCCAGCCACCTGAGCAGAAGGCTAGATGGTCTCAGACGTGCAGGCTTTCCTTATCAGTCTCTCCGGTGCCTTTGCAGTGGTGAGGGCGGCATTGGGGCAGGTGGAGATGCTACTGAACTGAGCATTGAATTGAACAAATTATTCACTTAGGAACTGAGAAGAACATTGGGAAAATAGTCCTGATTCCTCTCCATTGGTTTGTCATCTTTCCCTTTCTTTTTCTCCCAAATTTCAAGAGTTCATACTCCCTGTTTCCCTCCTCCTCCGTTCTTATCTTCTCTGTTAATTTCCCTTTTTGTAGTTCTCTGGATGGTTGGTATTTTTTTCCCTTTCATTGAGTCAATGACCTCCTGATCAAAACCGTGGTTGAATCGCTCAGAAAGCTTTGATTTTACTTGAGTCTTTGTGTGTTAGCAAATTAGTTATCCCAACACTTAAAGATTTATTTTTATTATTTTTTATTGGAAAGGCGGATATACAGAGAGGAGAGAGAGAGAGGAAGATCTTCCGTCCGATGATTCACTCCCCAAGTGAGCGCAACGGGCCGATACTATGCCAATCCGAAGCCAGGAGCCTCCTCCGGGTCTCCCACGCGGGTGCAGGGTCCCAAAGCTTTGGGCCATCCTCAACTGCTTTCCCAGGCCACAGGCAGGGAGCTGGAAGGGAAGCGGGGCTGCCGGGATTAGAACCGGCGCCCATATGGGATCCCGGGCGTGCAAGGCGAGGACTTAACCACTTGCGCCACCGCGCCGGGCCCAGTTATCCCAACACTTAAAAAAAAAAATCAAGGCTTGCAAGATCTGCATGTGGGTTCAGGTATTACACTAAAAACATTGTTTGAATTACAGCTTAATAATTACATTGATAGCTGATTAAGCATTGTGGAAAATTAACAGTGCAAAACACGAAGAAACCAAGTTTTCATTTGTTTTTGATTAATCTAGTGCTTGACAGAATTAGAACAACAGTGCCTCATTAATCTATAGGTCACATACTTGGTATTTCCCACTTGCCCAAATGTAACTTGGTGCACCATGAGTAAGCCCTCAGGACTGCTAAGTGGAAGTGCATGTTCCTGCCTCCCAAGTTAATACTTCTGTACCTTGTTCCTGGGAAAGCCTCTGAGACCCCTGCCTGGGGCACCTCTTACAGATTTCTAACTGCTCTCAGTGCCCACAATATGGTATCCCCTGAAATAGAAGAAGGGATATTGTAAAGGCATCCATAAGCAAATAACACTGAGGTGAGAAGCAAGAAAAGAAGTAGTTTGCAAATAAAACGAAGTCTGTAAGCAAACCTTTTAAGGAATTTTTAAAAGTATGTGGCTGCCTGAGGATGTATGTTGTAGAGAGACATGGTGCAGACTCTCCCTTGAGACCTCACTATCTCTAAGTTAAAACTTCTGAAGGTAGCTTCCATGGAGTACTTACTTTGGACCCCACATCTGTGTTCCCCCACGTGGCGTGTTCCATCACTTAGTCCTCGAGGTTGGTGGTAGGATTGTCCTTTTGTAGAGAAGAGAACTGAGACCAGGAGAGTTGTTAGTGAAGGTCACATAGCAATAGGTGGCAATGTCAGGATCTACCCCTTGAAGTTTGTTTCTAGAACTTCTGTTCTTAACCCCTCACCTGTTCTTACCACATGTGAGCTATCAGAGGAAATGAATTTATAGCCCGTACATTTTGGCAAACACTATACAGATACAAATGATATGGCTAAAAAGATAGATGTAAAATAGTTGAAGTTTTTTGATAAAGATAAGTATAACATCTGGAAAAGTCTTTGGAGGGAAATTTGGTTCTGCACTGTTTTTCCCTAGGATGAGTTAATTCTATTAATAATATTGAATTTTTACCTAATAGGTTTTTGGTTTTAGTCCCGTGCACAAAAGTTGAAAGAATTTCCCAAGCGTTAGAATCATTGATAGAGATAAGAGTCAGTCTAGTTATGTGTAAGGAGCGTGGTTGGAAGATGATGTAGTAATGTTTAAATATGAGTTTCTACAAAGTGCTGACTCTGGCCTGGGGCCTCAGAGCCCAACGTATAACAGGCACAATAGATGTGTGTCTCCCTCCCTCGGAAATAAATTTCCTGTGACATTACAGAGAGGGTCATAAAAGGTGTTAAAATCTTGAGCAAACTTTATTTATATCCTGTTTAATTAGACTTCGCCATCAGAGAGGCTTGACGGATATTCTACATATTCATTATGTGAACAAATACTTACATAGAGATCCCAGGTTCCTATCAAGGTTCTGTGCAAGCTGTCGTGAAATACACCGCGACAAAGCCTTGCCTTCCTGGCACTGACCATCTCGGAGGGAGGCAACCCCTCACAAAACCAATGTCTTCATTTTCTGATGAAAGCAGTAAGGCAATCCTTGAGGGACAAAAAAATGCTCTCCTTTAATCTTCCAGGCAACAACAGCTTCTTCAGACACTGGGAATTTTATCTTTATTAGGAAATGTTAAAGTGTCCCCAGTTTTGTTGGCTTCCACCCCCAGCGTGAGCAGTGTTGGAGTCGGACCCATTCGCCCATGACTTCAGGAGCGAGAAGCAGTGACCATGTGGCATGTCTTGGTTAGGTCATGCTTTTGTTTAAACTACAAAGAGACTGAGAAAAGTAGGCGACCTGGCCAGGTGCATAGCTGAAAAGGAGAACCAAAGTTACAGACTAAGCCAGGCATGGAGAGGAGAGCAGTTCCTTCTCCTTTCCCTTTGTGAGCGCCCTGGGTGCAGAGGTGGCCGCCAGCCCCAGGAGAGCCACTCCCCAGGGACAGGCGGGCTCGTTCACAAGGATTCACACTGAGGTGTTTAAGCTACAACAACAGCTTTCCAAGTATTGAAGGGAGAGTGAAGTTAGTAGGAAAAATTGAATACGCTAGCTGTACACTAACTGAAACTGTACTAACTGAAACTCAAGATCTGATTGTTCTAAGTATCCAAAACGTGCAATGAATTGTAATGCATCTGTAAGCTTGTTTCCTTCATGTAATGAGGAGTCCCTTTTGTGTATAGTCCTTTTAGGAGATGGGTCGGGGAACATGATTGTTCAATAAACAGAGTATAGTGACTCCTTCTGGAAGAAAGAGAAAAAATATTTTAGAAGAAACCTGAAATCTGTAATAAGATATCGTTATAATAATACTTTCTAGTTAAGAAAAGGGTTGAATGCATGTTGGAAAGAGGTGAGGATGCATTTGAAGCTCAATTTTGCATCAAGGTGTCAAAGGTCAAGGAAGGTGCTGGTTTCTCTAGCAAAATGAGGAGCAGACTTGGAAGAATGAAGGCCTGGAGTATAGTAATAATGAAAACTGAACATCTTACAGTGGATAATTTTATACTTGCTGATCTAAAATAAATTATAGACATGTTAAAAATACCAGTAGTGGCCATTTTCCACTTCATGGCTCTTTTGAAAGGTGAACTAAGCACACAGATGAGTCTAGAAATGAAGATAATTTGTCTTTTCTATTGTTATGTTTAACTTTCTAGACACTACTTTCATGTTCTAAAGTATAGGTTAATTTAAATGTAAGGTTATGAGTAATATCTGCTTTTGTTGGTCATGGTGTTTTTATTTTTTATTGTTTTGGTTTTAGTGAATATTTTTATTTCGAGCATTTCACACCCAAATTGAGAAATGCTTGTTTGTGTTTGTGTGTGTGTGAGAGAGAGAGTTGTTTTTAAAAAATAACAATGACTGGAAGATTTTAGATCCAAATATAGTTTAAACGAAGCTATTTGAAAGAAAAATGAAACTTGACTGTGTTGATTAGATGGGTTTGTCTTCAAGTTCATGGTGCCAAAGTCACAATTAGGAGCTTTGAGTATGGAAGGGGATGATAAAGGTGCTTTCTGGATGTCATCTCATACTCTGGATTACCTGATACCCCCATTCTGCAGATAAAGACACGAGGCTTAGCAGTTTTCGGAGTCCTGGCTGGGGACAGTGTGTCCCAGCAGGGACCCAGCCAGGGGGCAGTGTGTCTAGCAGGGACCTGGGGAACAGCGTGTCCCAGCAGGGAGCTGGCCAGGGACAGTTTGTCCAGCAGGGACTTGGGGGGGCAGAGTGTCCAGCAGGGACCTGGCCAGGGGCAGCATGTTCCAGCAGGGACCTGGGGGACAGTGTGTCCCAGCAGGGACCCAGCCAGGGGGCAGTGTGTCCAGTAGGGACCTGGGGGACAGTGTGTCCCAGCAGGGACCTGGCCAGGGGCAGCATGTCCCAGCAGGCCTTG